CCGTAAAGTTTCCAGGCGCTGGTTTCAGAGTCGGGGCTTGTGATAGTTTCACCCGCGGGGGCTGCCAGGGCAAACCTGCATTAACTCGTTGTGCCATCAGACGCTGCTAATTGTCCGTGGGCGGGGGGAACACCAGAGCGTGTAGTAGGAAATACTTTGTTGTTGTCTGACTGGAGAATTACGAAGGAGGATGTGATTTAGGTAAACTTCTCTAGTTTCGTTAAAATATGTTTGCAATGGAGTTAACAGCCCATATAGAAACCACTTTAGTCCTTCCAGTGTTTTCATATTGTTTGAATTATGTGAACATATAAGATATTAAAAGGGACAGGCATCTGATTTCTTGTATTGCTTTCAGAAATTACACCCTGATGAATAAAATAATAATACTGCATAAATGAGTTTGTAGCCTTTATTTTCTTTAGTGCATCTGTGTCCAGAACTCAAACCACTTTCAGGAACCATACCGTTTCTGTAGTAAATGTGGATGCATATTGACTGAAATTTGAGTTTTGTCAAGAACTGCAGAATATATTTCTTGCTTCCTCATTTTGACAAAAGGGATAGTATAATGTTATAAAATAACGTTGTCATCTTTGCCTTTCTCCTAGGAGCACTATGAATGAAGAGCAGTTTGTTAACATTGACTTGAATGATGATAATGTTTGCAGCGTGTGTAAACTGGGAACAGAAAAAGAAACACTCTCATTTTGCCATGTCTGTTTTGAGTTAAACATTGAAGGTAAGAAATCAGTACAATTAACTCAATAATGTACTTCATTCTAAATGTCCTGGAATACCTTGCATTGAGTTAAAGAGAAAAAGAAAGTTCTAAAAAAGGAAAGTGACTTGGTGGCTTGAAGCCAGTGAGAAACAAACTCTTGTCTGTATCCCTTTGTGCATAAATAGTTATCAACAAATTTGTAGATGTAATGCATAATTTTAACACTATTTCTAAGTAACTGTGATAATTTTGTGGACTTACTTCCTTAAGGCTTCCAAACCCTGAATAATTAACATACTTTTTGCCATTCTAAATAACTTCTTCCTGAGTAAATGACTTCCATTATTACCCTTTGTCTTTCCTGTTTCAATTAGATTTCTTTATGTACTATAAAAATCAGCTTGGCTGGGCTTTTGGATAAACAAAAATTTATAAAAAAGTAGACAATCATCTTTTCCGAATAATGTTGTATACTTGCAGTGATAAATAGTATCTAATAACAGGAAATGCTTTTCAAAATACCAAGATAAATTGTGTAATGGATGTTTTTCTGTTTATTTTGGGAAAGTATCTTTGTACTGTGTTAGTGCCTAAAGTTCCCAGTCAGAGATAGGTGGCCGCCTATGCTAAGCACGGTCTTTTCTTCTTTGATTTTCTTTGATTCCTGTCCATGAGGCCAGCAGCAGTGGTTGGGCTGAATTAAATCTTTCCACCATTTCCTGTTTTGTTGTGGCTTCATGGCTTTGTTCATCTTCAAGCCTTTTTGTTCTATGTCATTCACTGTGTCTATCCAACGTATCTTTGGTCTTCATCTATTTCTAGTTCCTTGTCCTCTGGTATGTATCACCATGTATGTTATCCTTTCCGAGTTCATTGCTGACAGGTGTCCAGACCATTGCAATAGTATTTCTTCGATCTTGTGTGTTTGGCACGGTACAGAAAAAGTACTTCAGAGGGCACTCTGTGCCCCCAAGAGTTTACAGATGAACTAACGTAATTACATAATTATCAGATTGTAAAGTTTAAGCCCAAGACATTTCATGATAGGTTAAAACATCAGTTTTCATAGGAATAATCTAAACAACCATATTGAGGGCAGGGACAATGCCTGCAGCTTCAAGGGTCCACATATGTGGATGTTTTTGTGGGACTGAACAGCCGTGTTTTAAAGTGTCAAGTTTTACTTTATTGTACTCTTCTGTGTATGAATTAAATTGCACCACAAAAGGGAGTTCTGCAAATTAGAACTCTTCCATTTTGATACGCCATAGATGCTTTGTAGCATCACATTGCTGCCAGACTTGGACAACAAAACTAATCCAGTCTGATTATATAATGGATAGATCTACCCATCCTAGAAGTACTTGTCTGGCAGGGGTGACCCCAAGCCATGCCTACATTAGGAGTGCTTTACTGGTATAAGAATACCATTATACGATGCTGGCGAAGTGCTCCTGGTCTGGATGCAGCTGTACTGGCAAAGGTGCACTTAGTACCGGTATAATAAAACAACCCCCAAAGAGTGAAACATGCTATCCCTGTAAAAGTGCAGATTTTCCAGTAAAGCTGCTTCTACAGTGTGGGCTTTTGCTGGCACAGTGATGTTGGTCGGGGATCACAGAACTCTACACTGATGACCAATATAGCTATGCCAGCAGAAGTCTAGTGTAGATCTGGCCTGCATCGACAGTGGGCGACTGAAAGGGAACAAGTTCATTGGTATGCAATGTATGAAGTTTGTGTGCCCTTCGTGCTGTTCTAAGTAGTAGCATCTCCTCCTTTATCTTTTGTTCTGATATAGGAAAGAACTAATTGATTGCATTTAACATGAAGGAGGGGTGGAGAGTTTCAAACTTCATAGCTTGTGTAGGCCAAAAATCCCATTGTACCATACTCCTGGTCTCTCTTTCAGGGACTCCCTGCATCTCCCCAATCTCCTTCCCCCACCAGAGGTTCTGTGTGTTCCCCATTCTCCCCTCAATGGCTGGTGTTTTGCTTCCCATTTCCTCCTCCCTAGATAGCAAGGGCTCTCTCTATGTAATAAACGCTCATTTTCCCACTTCTCCCATGCAAGGGGCACTTTCTGCTGCCCCATACCTGGGTCCCTGTTCTCCACTCATGTGAAGGACTGTGTGCACACGCCTCCATACACACCTATTTCTCCCCGCCCCCCTTTCTTATTTCTGTCTGGGTGATAAGTCATTCATGGTATCAATATGTTAAACTATTGGGACGCTGAGCAGAGATGAGATAGGGTATTGTTATGTTGGAAGCCATGGATGGATGCTATCAACTAGGTTTTTTTAATCTATAGACCAGGGATCGGCAACCTTTGGCACGCGGTGTGGGACTAGTGGGAGCCGCGATCAGCCGAACCTGCGGACACGGCAGGTAAACAAACCAGCCCGGCCTGCCAGGGGGCTTACCCTGGCGGGCCGTGGGCCGAAGGTTGCCAATCCCCGCTATAGACAATTGCAGAGGTGATTGAAGATTTGCTTAAGAGCTGTCAGCAGCTTCATGTGTTTCCCATTGGTCTTGCAGTTTATCCTAAATCAGTCTGGTTCCAGTCTGCATAAAACTTTCCCTGAAATATTGGAATTAGTCAAATGCTGCATTCAAAAGTTACCACATTACAAATAAATGCTGTTGAGTTTTTGACCAAGCTTGTAAAGGCCTTAGAGGGTTTTTTAGGAACACTGTTGAAGTTGAGATCAAGGTCTCCAATGCCTTTGCTGTTCCTCAAGGTTTATTGAATGCCAGAAGAGTGAAACTGGTGTGACTGCTTGCTGTCTATAATTTATATATAAAAATATGCTCTTTTTCCAGTTCTAACTGAAGTTTTAATGCATACATAATACTAAAGAATGATAGTTGTACTCCGGTCTCATAGAAGCCAGAAAATATATTGGTCAGTCTGTGTCGCTTTCATGTGCTTACTATCTTAACTTATTTTGGTAAAAATTAAAATAAAACCACCTTTAACATTGTCACTCATTCAGTAAAAAAGGTAGTACACATCTTAATCTAGCAAGCACTTGTGTTTAATACTTCAGTAGTACTGCACCGTCTGCCTTCCCTTTCTATGTAGAAAGGACTTCCTACTATAGCTTCATCTTTTGATGATGAAACTGGACAGTTGCTTTGAATTAAGGAATATTGTCAGTGTACTTTAAAACTTGGATTTTTTTTTCGTAGTTCTTAAAATAACTGATAGACTTACAGTTTTCTCTTTCTGGTTATATTTTAATGCCACCACCTACACTTTAGAATTAAAGAGAACCTGGTGCCATAATCCACCAAATACTATACTTTTATTTGCAGTTCAATGCTTTTGTTGCAGTGTAACTACTGTGCATGACTTGTGAACATAAATGACTTTGATATTCAGACATTTGCTTCTTGCTGGTAGGAGCCTTGATATAAAAATATTTCTGCTTTTATTGTGAGATTACTGTATGCATTTGTCTCTCCATGCTTTGTTTTGAGCAGGTGAGCTTGAATCTGGCACAGTAGTGGATAAATATAGCTTTATAAAAAACTCAGATTTAATATGATAGCAACAAAATGCATTTATTTCTGGTAATTTTGAATAGTATTAGAGGTACTAAGATTGCTGCACAAAAGTCTGTTATATAGCCTTTATTTTTAAGATTTGTTTTACAAGCCTAAAGAAATAGCTACTTAAAACTGTGTTTTGTTTAAGGGAAATGTGATGTGTTTAGGTTCATGTACTTATTAATCTAGAAATATTTATTTAAGTGTTGACGCCCTTATCAGCATAGAATCTGAAGACTTCATAACTACTGCCTTTTGCCCTCAGTATGCCCCTATGAATTTGGGAAATACTATACATGTTTACAGAGGGGAAACTGAACTGAGGCACAAAGTAAAATAAGTGATTTTTCTGAAGTCTCACTGAAAGTCTGTAGCTGAGCCAGAAAATGAATCCTGGTATCCTGAGTCCCAGCCCAGTGCCCTGATCACTAGAGCTTTTCTACCTTGACTACCACTTCTTAGACCATTGACTTACAGAACAATTTGCCATTTGGAATGTAGAAAAGTAGTAGTGGTCTTCAGTTGTTCAAGACTTGGGAGGGGAACACATTGGGTAATCCACAAACTTTTTTATAAAACAAAATGCATCAGGAATTTTCTTACTAGCTTTACATTTCTATCATTCTGTCATCAGTCACTTCTTGCACAAGAAATGAGCAATCATTTGTAATTGCTAATTTTCTTGCACTGAATAGTTATAAATTATGAGATGCAGTGTGTCAGAAATGTCATGACTATTTAGGGATAGCTCAGTGGTTTGAGCATTGGCCTGCTAAACCCAGGGTTGTGAGTTCAATCCTTGAGAGGGCCACTTGTGAATCTGGGGCAAAATCAGTACTTGGTCCTGCTAGTGAAGGCAGGGGGCTGGACTCGATGACCTTTCAAGGTCCCTTCCAGTTCTAGGAGATGGGATATCTCTATTATTATTATTATTATTTAAAGTTTAGTTGCTGCTTTTTATTTGAATTGGATGGCATCAGGCACTCAGACTGTTAAACTTTCAAAGACTTAGTTTATTGGGTGTTTTTTCTATTTGTGAGTGCTAGCTGTTCAGCATGGGAAGTAAGCAAGCACTTTTATCGTTCTTCAGAAACGAAACTGATAGCTAGGAAAGAGATATTTGTTCTACCTATTGTATATGATGTTTGGTTTAACTTAATATCTGAATTTATATTTAGATATGCAGTTTACATATAAACAAACTGTTCCTCTCAATTAAAAAAAAAGAAGCCACTTGTATTTTAAAACAAACTTTCAATACATATAACTGTGCTTAGTATCTTTCCAAGGTAATGAGCATTTCCAGTGTCCACAGTAGCCTGTGTCAGCTTCCCTTCAACACTTTCTGGAAATGAGTTTTCATTTCCCTCATATTTCACAAAGGACCCAAGCTTTCTCTCTTGACTTGGTCTCCTTTGAGGCCAGAGTTCTGTCTTCTTTCCTGGGCAGTATTTGACAGCATT